ACTCTTTCTTCCACAACTTGCTTTTTGGTCATGGTATTTCGTCAAAACAACAGAAACCCTAACTCAGACCCTAGCTAAATTTTAGTTAGGACTTATCGTGTACTGGACACCATTCCAAGGGTTTCCCATGAATTAATTTGCTAGATCCTGACAACCCTCCCTTTAAGCTGGATATTCTTACCACCATATAACAGATAAGAAACTGAGTCATGGAGAAGTTAACAAGTCCATTCAAAGAGAAACAGTTAATATGGTGTAGTATTAGGGTGTGAACCTGTGTAATTAATGGTCACAGATGATTTAAAGATGTGTCTTAAGAGAGACAACTAAAGTTGATTACATCAAGTCTTGCTATAGAATAGTAATCCATCAGTCACTGCTGCTGAATTCTCTGATCTGTCTTTTACATATTAGGTTCTCCTGTGTTTCATGTTGTATCAGACATGAAGAAGCATTCAGCCTTTTGCTTCCAACTTTAGAGTTCTCTCCTTCCCTTCAAACCAGCAGAACCTTCCTGATGCTAAGCATTGTTTCTAACACAGAAGAGCTTTGGCCTGGGTCCCTTACATGCCATAGACATACAGCCTGTAGGTAAAGTTGGCCTTTTTCATGGTTTGCAGGGAGCAGTGAGTCCCAGCAGAAGTGCCTTACATTTACTGGATTGCTGTTTTCAGAAGTGAAACATGCTGTTGAGCCATATAAGTAGATTTTATTAGTCCATTAAGGAAGCTGAAGTTTAGACAGTAGGGAACTCATATGTTTGATGAGTAGAGTCTTCATTGTGGTGGTGTGATGTGCATGGCCCCACAGGTTCATATGTTTGAATGCTTGGTCACTGGTTAGTGGAATTGTTTGGGAAGCATTAGGAGGTGTGGCCTTGTTGGAGGAGGTGGGCCCACTGGGGTGGGCTTTGAGGTTTCAAAAGTGTATGCTAGCCTAAGTGTCTCTCTACCTGCTCCCTGCAGGTCAGGATGTAAAGTTACTGCTCCATCTCATGGCAGTTTCCTGCCATGATGTTCATGGCCTAACCCTTTAAAATTGTAAGCAAACTCCCAATTAAATGCTTTCTTGAAAAGAGTTGCTTTGGTCATTTGTCTCTTCACAGCAATAGCACAGTGACTAAGACAGTCATCTAACCTCATTTTTAACGATCTTGCTAACCTAAGATGTGGAAACTACACTGATTTACCAAAGGCCCTTACGGTGATTCTTGCCTCTGGTTATTGACTTAATTAGGTCAGAACTTGTAATTAGCATGGCATTCACCAGAGGTGTCAGTGGAAGAGTGGCTCAGAATAGACATTGGATGGCTTTGTGTCAGTCTTCTGGGGCTGCTATAACAAAATATCATAGTTCAAGTGGCCTGAACCACAGACTAAAATCGACTTCCAAGTTCAGGAGGCTGGGCAGTGTAGCTCAGGGTCCTGGCCTACATGTTTTCTGTGAGTCCACTTTCCTGTTTGTAGACCTAGTACTTTTTCTCTGGATGGGAAGAGAGGAAAGTGAATTCTTGCTTGTCAGTTACTATACTGATGATACTGAGGAACCTTTGTTGTCTATACCACCCCCCAGAGCCCTTTTTCTAAGTTCACTGTGGGTTGTGGCTTTTACCATATGTATTTGTAGTCTGTAGTGAAAACTCAGGCCACTGCAGCTGCCCAGCTCCATCTTTATTCTTCATGGATGATCTTGTAGAAGGATTTATCCCGCTTGTATCAGGAGCCAGTCACCTTTGGACTTTTATCTTCCAGTGAATTGCCTGCCTGCCACATGGTAGGGCTTTAGTTACTGTTTGATGATGAATTAATGTCAGTGACCTCTTGTTGCCTTTTTGTGTCTGAAGTTTTCTTGTGGCTGTTAAGCCTAGACTTTCCAGTTGGGTAGCCAGGGAGTCTTGTTTCAATGAGTTGTTACTGGGTTAGGCCCTGTGAACATTGGATTATATAAGGGAAATACTTACAAGTATGAAGGAATAAGATGCTGGGGTCTGTGTGATGGGGAGGAGAGGGAAGTCACAGGAGACCCACACTAAGACACTTCTTGTGGTTAAAGAAGAAATTTACATCTCATTTCTGATTTTCACAAAAGAAAAGGGGAGCATGATATGTGTCTCATGTTCTCTTAAGTTGTTTAGGAATGAGACATTTTTGTACCAGCAAACATGCAAGGAGGAATTTGTTACATGGGTCATAGAACTAAGAGCTTTGACCGTACTGTTTAGACATTTCTGACAACACTGATATGATGTATTTTTTTTAGTAAAAGAAACACCGAAGTCTATGTTTCTTATGGACTTGCTGAAATCCAAAGTTATGACACTAAGTTACATGTCTAGGAAGTATTTCTGTGAGTAACTCGAAGTGTGAGTGCAGCTGTTCAGGTTTCTGCTGATCAGTTCAGTCCAAGCAGCAGTACAGATGAGGAAATGAGAATACATGCCCACCCAAAGACTCATTTGTAACCTGGTCAGGAGTTCCAAGGAAACTGCCACTGTCTGCGATCACTGTAATCCTGGAACTCGCATTATAGACCAGGCTGGCCTCCAACTTACAGATATCCGCCTGCCTCTGCTTCCTGAGTGCTGGGATTAAAGGCACACGCCACCACTGCCTGGCAATAATTTCCGTCTAAAACTTAAAAGCTGTTCTTTGCCTGGAATTACCAAAGAAATAAGTTGAGATAAATTGACTTAAAACTGCCTGAAAAGACAGAAAGACAGCTTTTTTTAGTCTGACACATGGGCCTACAGAATGCTTTAATTCACTTTGGACAGAAGTCTGGAATAAAACGAGAAATGTTGAAGGCTTCCTGGTCCCAAGGATGATCTGCATTAGAAACACACCATCAAATAAATGATAGTGAGTTGTAGTTGAAAATTTCCCTTGCTTCCACTTTACCTCACATTGCTAACACTTGTTTATTTCCTGGATTTCTTAGCCTACATTTTAAGGCTTCCTTTATTTGTTCAGCAAAATACCTACAAATCCTTAAAGCAAAACTGTGTCATTATTTCTAAATGGCCCTTTGAAAAGTTGTTAGGTCACCTCTTCCTTTGGTGGCAAAGCATGGATTTCCTTTACCCCCGGGACTCTCCACTCTGGTGCAGCAGGCTTCCAAGTTTTGATCACGACTCACAGTAGAACACGCTTTGAACCAGAGCTACACAAAGCTGTTCTCACTCCTCCCTGGCATACATTCTGAAGCTGCCTTCCAGAAGGTACTAGCCTCCACCCACCCACACCGAGTTCATGACTGGTGTGTCCTGGCTGGCATTTTGGAAACAAACAAACAAACACCAACTGGCATGCCTTGTTCTGGAGTCCTAAGCCTATGTTTTTCAATTACTGCAAGAGGAAAAAAAAATGCATCTTTTACTTCACTGTGAGGGTGAAGACTTGGTCTTTAGGATGTCATCTCATTTTAACTTGGTCCTTGATGCCTTTTGCAGTTAAAGGGTATCTCTGGATTCAAAATGAAAGCTCCCAGTGTTCAGGAGAAGATTGTATCCTTTCTTGCTAGTGCAGTGGGCTTCTGCCATATAGTTTCGTATTTACCCTGCAGAGATAAAGTGCAGTGAGAGTCCCATAGAGCTGGAGACTTGCCTTTTTGAATCTTTTTTTTTTTTTTTTTTTGATTATTTTGAGACTGTGTAGCAGCTTTGTAGACCAGGCTGGCCTTGAACTCAGAGATCCACCTGCCTCTGCCTCCCGAGTGCTGGGATTAAAGGCGTGTGCCGCCACTGCCCAACGATTTTTCAAATTCTTGTTTGTGACTGCATTCTTTAATGTGTTAGTGGAAGTCTGGGATTGTAAGTCAAGGGCAGATGGGAGGGCCTGATGTTATATACAGCTATTCAGTCCTTCCTGTGAGCTGGCCTGCCTTCTGTTCTTCAATTGCGCTGATTAGAAAATACTCAGGACGATGTATTAAGGGTGCAAGAGCGGGGTGGAAAACTGATAGAGTGTTATGGCACTCTGCCAGCAGCTAGGTAAAATGTTTGTTGATTTTTCTGCTGGGTCCCAGGCCCACTGCTAACCAGCTACTTAGTCCTTTCTCTGTGGCTCCCCTCACTGACAGTCTCTTGTTCTGGGGGATGAAAAACACATTTTTCTATCAGCAGGACTCTTTGTAGTGTTTGACTTGATATCTGGAACATTCTGCATTGAAGCCAACTCTAGGGGCTGTTAGGCCAACCTGGTGGGACTGAGGCTCCTGGAGGGCCCCTAGTTTGGGAGAGGAAGACTGTGTCCCACAACAGTACTCTTCCTGTTCCTGAGAGGGAGGTCCACTTGCACCTTTTCTCCAGGTTGGTTCTCTTTGGTTGAGCCACTGAATATTGAAGAAATACGTTCCTGGCAAGACCAAAGCCAGTGAGGAAGGGCAGGCTGTGCTCTGGCTTGTGGGAAGTAGACAGACTGCACAGATGTGGGCGTCTGGCACACGGACTCAGATCCCAGCCCAGGTACTTACTTATTAGCTATGTGACCTTGGGCAACATTGCAAGGCTCCCATTTTCTCACATATAAAATGAGGCTGATAATAAAACCGTACAAGCTTTAGCGGGAATTTTATGGCTATAATGCTACTGTGCTGTGGGTGGTCAGCACATGGGGTTCACATAGGTTGGGCCTTTGTGTGTATGGAAGCCTTGAAGGCAGAGGACTGGTTAGGAGCACTAGTCTGATCCTCCAACTCCCAGCTGATGGAGGCAGGGGGCCCACACCACCTTTCCTAAATCAGCACTTATGGATGAACGTTAGAGTCATCTCTGTCTCCTTTTTTTTCTTTTTTACAGTCCCAGGCTCAGGCTATGTTCTCTCATTGGACATCTAGCAGTAGGAGAGGGTTTATATGATTGGGATGCGATTTCTTGGTTTCATCTGTGGAATTAAGGTGCCTTGATCTGGGGGTCTTTTGCCCTGATGGAATCTAAATCTGATTAGAAGTTCTTGGTGTTGTGCCACAAATCATTAACCCCCCCCATTCCATTTCTATAAAACATGGATAACAGTGTGGCTCCGTCATCTTTTAGGAGTTTGAGTGCATTAGCTAATGATCAAGAGAACTTAAAAATACGAAGTTCCCGTGAGTGCCAAGAGATTTTGTAATTACACATTTGCATTATTTTGCTTGGCATCCTGAAGGGCTGTGTTTCAAACACAAGGATCCTGGGGCAGATTTCTGCTTTTCTAATTGCAGAGCAAGAACTGCTCCCCCTTCCCCCAGGAGTGTTCAGGATGCTAAATCTCAGGACCTGGTGGAAGTCCTGAAGTAGCCCAGGAAGAACTGTCTTGGGTTGCACTAAAGTGGAGGGAGAGCCCGAGATACACGTATAGTTGAAGTGATTCAGAACCTAAGGGTCGTAGCCGCTTCAAGCAGAGATGTGCTGGCTTTGCTTGTCCCTATGTCCTCATAGAGACACCTGGAAACCCTCCTCCTCTAAATAACCATTTTATGACTTACTTAAGGGACTCATTGAAGATGTCACCGGTAACGTTTGAATACCTTCAGTCAGAGACTTAAAATAACAGACATTTAAAAAGAGAGGTGCATAAGCAGCAATAAACTGGTGCCTTTTGATAGCTGTTGTTTTCATTTTGTTACAGGTAGTGGAGCGACTGCTGTGGTCCAGGCAGCACTGTGCAAACCCAGGCAAGAACGTGTAGCCATAAAGCGCATCAACCTGGAAAAATGCCAGACGAGTATGGATGAGCTATTAGTGAGTATAAGGGAAGGGGATGCCTGCTGCCTGCTTGCTCTTCCTGACTCTGGGCTTGCCAGGGTGGCTGGGTGAGAGAAAAGAACATAGTGTTGGTGGGGAGTGTTTCTCGGGAATCAACCACACTCCTCTCCTCTCCCCTGAGCGACTACTCTCTACCACATGAATAAGTGGCTGTGATACACAGTGTTCAGGCTGCACAGCCCCAGTGGTCCCTCAGTGTAACACTCTTGTTTTATACAACAAAGGAACACCTTCCGTGCTCTGAACTGAGGTCATGGGATTTCTGACCCCAGAGTTCAGATGTCGGCCTTCTCCTGGGCCTTATCTTAGAGTTCGTGACACAGCTGTGGGTTCCTTCAGAAGTATTTTTAAGTCATTTCTGCTTTTATAGATCGCAAAATCACACACAAATTTAGGTTTGGGTTTTTTTCCCCCCTTCGTTTGTGGTTACCTTGTGTTTCTCGTTTGAAATGAGGCACGCACATACACAACTGGAGCTTGTCTGTGTGGGTCTGACTATATAGCAGTAGCGCTGATTGGTTGAGGGGACATTTGCTTTGGGCTTAACTGACTCATTATTAAATGAACAGCTTAGCAAATGGTTATTAGTTACCCAGCAAACTGTGAAGGATTTTAGACTTTAATCTCATAAATATAGTTGTCATTCTGGCTGCCAGGTTTTTTATTTTTTTCTCCTTTTTGGCCATTTATTTCAGGATAAAACTGCAGTGGAGGAGTTAACCGATGGGTTATCCCGACGCTAATCCCAGCACAAATATTAGTCCAGCAGCACCATACAAGCTACAAAGTATAATGACAGTTGGCTCCACATAAAGAAGCCTTTTGTTTTATTCTACGCTGGGAATGGAATGCCATTAACAAGAGCTTTTTGTCCCTCCTCAGAATATAGCTTTTATTTCAGGCTAATTACAGTACACTATAGTATAAATTAAGTTCAAGGCAAAAGCTGTACTTTTCCAGATCTTCCATTTTAAACCAGGTTGCACAATGCATAGATCTCACTGGGACTGAAGCAAAGGACTGCCAGCCAAAGCCCCGATTAAAGCAAGGGCTTCTGCAATTAAATGTTCACTTAAAAACATCATTCACTTACAGCTCCCCCCTGCACCCCGAAATTTCAGCTGTACATTGCTTACATGGACTTTGCTCCTGCATAGGACTTACCTGTTTCTAACTGTAGTGACCAATACAATTGTGCCTTTGTCGTTCACCAGTCCACAAGGTCACCTTCCCTGAGTGGAAAAAGCATTGAATAAAATGTGGGGAGAGTTGGTCCTGCTGTAGCCACTAACTTGTTTTTAACTTGAGTGGCATGGTCTAATAGCTTTGGGTCATTTTAAGAGAGAGATGAATTGTAAGATCCCAGAGGTCTCTTAGGAATCTTCGAATTCTGTGGCTGTGCATGAGGGTGCATTTTTTTTTTTTTTTTCTGCATGTGAACTGTATATTAACATTCACGCATTGTTTGAAACTCCCCTTAAGAGCTTGCCGGTGATGTTTGTGTTTCATGGTGGTGCTCTGTTGGAGCCCTAGCCACCTTTTGACTACCAGCCAGGTATTTAGAGTTTGTACAGTTTGAGTATCTTTGCACTGCAGCCTTGGAAGCAGCTTTTGGGCTGCGCCTGTGCTGTAGTCTGGTCCCTTTCATGCTCCTATTAACCAAGGCCATTGGTAGCTTTTTATCACACTTGGCAAACAGGTTATGATGGCCCAGTTAGGGCTAGATTGGAGGCCAGCAGAGACCTCCTCATTCCAGTCTCTTTCTTCCGTTTCTTAGGACAGTAAGCATAGCATCACAGGTTGTAGGCAACTTAGCTGTCTGGTTAAGGGCTGGGCTCTTTATTCCTTTGTACTTGGCCCCATCGGTCTTTATGAGTTGTCTGTTAGCAGTGGTCAACTTATTTTCCTGACCTCTTCTCTCACTGTAGTGCCCAAGCTGCACAGAATACATGCATACGTATTTAAGTATAATAAAATAAATGTAATAAGCATAATAAAATAAAATGATAGAAAACTTCAAATTTCATGCTAAATTAATAAATGTATTGCTTCTGTCTTTTACTACTTTGAATCTTTGCCCTTTTAGGGCTTTGGTATTATTTAGAGAGGGTGGAAGGAATGGCATTGGTCCTTCAGGATATACTGCGATTTCTAATTTTTTCACACAAAAATAATTAAGGATTTAGAGTATAGCCTGCCCCAGGTCATTAGTACAGCCTGCTTTTGTGGTCCAGATGATTGACACAGGCTCTTTGTGTGGAACAGAGTTGCTGTGCCCTTTCGACCTCCAGTACTGCTGTTGCTTGCACTTTTATTATTCCTATGGTTTCACATTTTGGCAGTGTTTGGACATCCGGTATCCTAATAATCCTTTAATTCCATGAGTGTGTATTATCTCCAGGTTGGGGCACTGTATCATCTCACAGAGGGTGCCATGTGTTAACTGGAAACCATTGTTCTTAGAAGAAACAATGGCCACTGGGGTCTTTATCTTGTGAGAGCGTTATGTCATAGAAGTCACAATTATCAACTATTTACTAGCTCTTGGAACATCTGCCCTCCCCCAAGGAATTTTTACCCCCTGACCGGTACTCCCTGCTCTGTTCCCCATCCCAAGTTCTGTCTGGGAGTCCATGGCCCTTGTCCCATGATAAGGGGAACCTACATGCGGAGCCAGATGTGATGACACACAGCAGTTTTGGACAGTTGACCACACAGACTCACTGTGCCTTTGACTGTGGTCATGGTCTTGGCTCCAGGTTTTGCTGAAGAAGGAGACAAGTTGTTAAAGGTGTTTAAGGGCCTGTAAGGGGGAAAGCAAATGTCAGATGAGTTCATTGGTGCTGAGTAACTGCTGATTTAAACTTACCTGTTGAAATGAGTTCTGCTATAATTCTTCAGGGTTAAGCTGGTTGAATATACAAAAATGCATTTATCTGTTTGATAGCTACTTCAACATCATTTCTTTAGTGTGCTTAGTCTATTCGAAGGTTAAGTTGCAGGTATGTGTATGGAATTTCAAGGCTGGTTGTTCATGTAAAACCTTGTTTTATGTAATTCAGCAGTAACTAGAGGCGAGAAATCCAAAGTGAATGGTTTCCTTCAAGTGTTGACTGATATTTTAGTACTCTAAACTTGTGCTTTCTCTCTGTGTCCTTTTGCAGTTTTCTTGTCATTTTGGAGTTTGCTTGTGACTGACTATATAGCCTGTCAGGATGAAATGACTGTGGCGGGGAAGGTGTATTGCTGCTCTGTGCTTCATGTCTTTCTGTTTTCAGTTCACACATTTCATGCGCTCTGATCACTTCTAAGACGTGATGATCCCACGCTTACTGCATTTGTCCATTCCACAGTGATACTGGCATAAATGGCAATTTGAAATAGCATATCACCTATGGAAGACACTTTCAGTTGTGAAGCAGGAATTTGTTCCCTTCACCTTTTCCAGTTGCTTTGGAAGCTAGATGTCCCTGTTGTGTGGGAAACCCTGGACTAGTCTGTTCATGTGGGGAGAGGAGTAGTGAGATGTTGAGCAGTGGCTGCCTTTCTCTTCCCTCTGTTGGTTTCCAGTTGCTTTCTCAGATTGCCTGCTCTCCAGGGGGAACTTAAGGCTTGCTAAGTGTGTCTGACCCATTGTCATGCAGACTGGTGAGCTCCTGTTGGAGGAAGCTTTGAGCTTCTTGAAAAAGGCTTGCTTCCCTAGTTTGTGGTCAGCCTCAAAGCTTAGGAACATTATTCTAGGACTCTTTGAGTTTTCTTAAAATCCATTATGTAAATGGAGAATTAATCATTTCTCTTTTGAAGGCATCTGTCTTTCCAGACCTTCACCAGATGATAAAATAAATTCCATAAACGTAGCATTCATTTTTATTTACCTTCTAATTCAACTTCCGAAGCCGTCAGGATGCTGTCCTTTGTTTTATCCACAGGCTGCTGCACATTTTTGACTCATCAGCTACTCTGACTGTTTTGTTTTTGTTTGTTTGTTGTTTGACAGGATCTCATCATGCACCCCATTATTTGCCTTACACTTTACTCCTCCTACCCCAGCTTCTGAAGTGCCTGGACTGTAGATAGGTGCCACCATGCCTAGCATCTTCTTGAATCCTAGGCTTTAACCTGTTTTTTTTTTTTTTTTTTTTTTTTTCCCTTACTTGAGTTCCTATGTTTTCAGCCCCGTCTTTGGTTTAGTTCCGGGCGACTCAGCTTCATCTCCTCATCCACCTGTGTACAGCAATGCCCTTGAATGCACAGTTCAATCTGTACCTTATAGGAGAGACCCTCACCCAGGAGCTGAAGCACTTGTTTCTTTAAGAGAGCAAGGCAGCAGGAACAGGAGAGAAAAAAGAAAGGAAAAAAAAATAGTTCAGGGGTTACATGATGAAATTATGTAATGATTTTAGTTTGTGATGGATGACAGATGTGAACAAAGTCACTTGAAAGGAAACAATGACATTACAGATGATGGCTGCTGAGCACTGTGGTAGAGGACAAAAGGTCCTAGGGCGGGAGGACATGCCTGCTTCCCACTTACCCTCCAGCACTGCTCCTTAGGGGGGAGAGAACTCTCTTTCACCTCACTCTCTTTCATTCAAAGAGAAGCATACTGGATGGCAGAAATTAAGGGTCCCTTAAAGCTTAGTTCTTTAAGAACATACTCTTCGAAGCATCACTTTAAACAACAATACAAATTGCTGGTTAGTTGTGTTTACACTGTCTGCAGTTGCTGTGCTGTGGCAATGAGAGTCTATGGCAAAGTAGATAGATTGGGGCATGCAGTGTGCCCTCTTCTTCCCTGCATATAGAAGGAAAGCCTTCCAGTCTCTGTTTTGTCCTTCTCCTTCTCCATCATCCTCGTAAAGTCTGAGTTTGCTGCCTCAGACAAGATTCATCGATTAATCAAGACTCCTTTTTTTCCCCCTCCTCAGCATAAAAACATTGCTTTCTGCTGCTGGGCTACTGTATCTCCTTTCTCT